GGCGGCCCCTAGCGAGCCGCACCGCCCCCCCCCCCACCTCCACATCCACACCCAAAGGTTTTGGAAAAGAAACTGCCCAGAGCAATGAACCCTTGAGGATAGGGAGAGGGGGTGGGGGGTGAGAACCCTCGTTTTTCACACTCACACACACACACCCCTTTTTTTGACATTCCTTAAGTGTAATCATTAAAATGAATTTTTAAAAAAGGGAGGCAGCAGCTTAACGCTGCCGTTTCTGACAATCTGCCCCACACACTGTTAGCGAAGTGAAAGATCTGGACCGAGCTTTGTTGCTTCGCTACCAATAGCAGACTTGGGGAGACCAAGCCTCCGATTTCTGGCCACATCAAAGCACTGATTATGCAAATACCCCCCCCCCCCTTTATTTTTAAGAATAAAATGGAAGGGGAATTATTTATCACACAATGAACCCCCTGCCAGGGAGGGAAACAATAGATCAGACCAGATAGCCCTTCTAGCCCCAGGCTGGGGGAGCGGGAAGGGGGTTGCTGAAGCCCTCACGTTTTATTGGTCTAACCTAATTTCACTAATTCTCTTTTCACACATTTTCTTTTGCGGATTCGGAGGCCGGGACTTTCACGCTCCCGGGAGCGCCCTGCATCGGTGCGATTCAAGGGCTGCCTGCTTTATTTAATTAATACATTCAAAGCTCGCCTGGGAGCCCAAGAACTGAGGGGGCGCTGCGCCGGGGGGATTGTGGGGGGCGGGGGGTGAGGAGGCCCGGCACGCGGAGGAGGCGCTTTTAACGGGTTCCAGGTGTCGGTGCCCAGAAGTCAGAACCTGCCCAAGGCTGTGCAATGCAGGGGGTGCTCCCGACGAACGGCGGCAGGCGGAGGGCGAGACGGGTGAGGGACTCGCAGCTCCCAGCCTCTCCCGCAGCCCTGGCCTGCCTCAACCAGAAGCCCTTGCCATCAGGACCCGGGGGTGTGCGCGGCTCAAGCGGGCCTTGGGCCCGGATGTCCTTCGTGCGTAATCGAGCTAAACTCGGAGAAGGACCGACGACCCCTCGCCCTCTCCCGGCCAAGGCCGCCCTGGGCCTTCGGCTGCCCTAGCCTCAGCCTGCAAGGCTCAACTCCTGCTCAGGAGCGGCGGGACCCCGGGCTCCTCTAACCTTGGCTGGGCCTGGGCCGGGGTCCCGCGGCGGGGCCCAGCAGTTGGCAGCCCACCTCTCTGCTTTTTTTCCTCCTTGTTGGCCCTCAGCTGGATTTATTTAAAATCTGGTGAAGAAATAATAAGGCTGTTAACAAGTCCTGGGCAGTTCAGAACAAATAAATATAACCTGTGCCGGAAACCTGACGGCGTCGAAGCCACGTTTCCAAAGAGGACAGAACCAGGCTTCACACCTCTCAGCCATTAGGTAAACACGCGCAGCTCACGGGCTGGCGCGCTGGAAAGATCTAGCAACTCTGCTGGTGCGGGACTGGCATCGGAAGAACATCGCCTTGGCCTAGTTTGAAACGTATGCCATCAGATAGCTGCCAGAAAAGAATGGCCGCTCGGTGGCCCACGAGCCCTCTCGGTGTAGACAGACCAGCTCTTCATGGTGTGGTCAAAGCGTGGGGAGGAAATGGAGAAACTGGAAGAGCGACTACACTCGCTACTGCAGAAGCAGCGGCTTCAGCCGTGTAATTCTCATTCCTACAGAGGCGAGGAAAGGGCCGTGGGGCCTCAGCCCACGCGCTGTGGAAGTTGCCTTAGGTTGGGGAGGAGAACTTCCAGCGCGAAGTGAGGCAGAAAGAACGTCATTCTTAAGCACTAAGAGAGATTGGACGCCATAAAAAATAATTGCACCAATTTAGTGTAAAATAAGGTCTGCTCTAGATGGGGGAGGGAAAGCCTGAGTGTAGATCACAAATGGTGGATGGAATTCTGGCCATGTGTGACCACTGACGTCTATGGGGACCGACAAGCTCCAGCTAAACAGGTCTCTCTGGTGCCGTGTGGAGGTGGCTGCTAGGCTGAGCAAAGTAGCGGGTCTAGTCGTTCGCTGTATTACTCTTACTCAAAGCTGTGATTACTGGACCATCTGACCATGCCTCTCCAAGTAAACAATGAGTGTCACCTGTTTATGGGGTCACCTCACCAACTGAGGAGGTTTCCCCTAGTCTTGGGAGAGTAACTGCACCTGAGAGTTTGCCTCCACAGACCTGTGCCATGAACTGTTTCTTTGGCAAATTTCTGAAGGCAGCATCTTGTATCAACATAAGCCGCGTCATGATGAGAACAATTATTTGTCACTAACACTGACATTTTAAAACGCCCATAGGGGCGCCTGGGTGGCGCAGTCCGGTAAGCGTCCGACTTCAGCCAGGTCACGATCTCGCGGTCCGTGAGTTCGAGCCCCGCGTCGGGCTCTGGGCTTGATGGCTCAGAGCCTGGAGCCTGTTTCCGATTCTGTGTCTCCCTCTCTCTCTGCCCCTCCCCCGTTCATGCTCTGTCTCTCTCTGTCCCAAAAATAAATAAACGTTGAAAAAAAAAATAAATAAATAAAACGCCCATACATACTACAATTGTTTTGCTTACAATTGTTTGGCTTCTTAAACATTAGAATTACAAATGTAAATATGAGGTATGGCACTTTTTTCTCATATCACATCATCAAGAGTGCCTAGGAATAACAGGCCTGAAAATAGAAAGGTATTCCAACAGGTCTCTGTTATGTCCAGCTATGAAAACAAAGCAAAACCCTGGCTCGGTTCTTCCTTTGATAAAAAATGGAGTCATTAAGATATTAAACACTTAATATTTTCCATATGGATAGACAGGAGGAGTCATTTCAGATAGATATCTCAGGAGAAGTTATTGTTGCTTGAAGCAGAGGACTGGAGGATTTAACCCAAACCAGAAGCAGATATGAAGTTCATGGGCGGTGGGGGAGTTGGGCACGAATGACCATTTCTTTGCCAAGGTGATTTTTTTTAAGCTTGTGTAGTCCAGTGGACACCCTCCCCCCAAGGAAGGGGCTTAAATCTAGAATGGGGTCAACCTTCACTTGGTCATCTTTTTTTTTTTTTTTTAATAATTTATTGTCAAATTGGTTTCCATACAACACCCAGTGCTCATCCCACTTGGTCATCTTTGACCCATGGTGCTATTCATTTCTGCTTTGGAGATTGAAGTGCAAGTTATAGAGTTTTGTGCTTTGGAGATTAGGAAACCATTTTTGCTTTCTCTTTGAAGAAGTTTTGGCTATGTAATTATTCTAACAAAAAATGAAAGCTGAGCTATTTCCCTTAGATACAATTTTATCCCAGCTCACTCTGAGTATTTTTTCTCCAGGAGTTTGCTTTTCAAACCAACAAGCTTGTTAAAGCAGCTAATACAAAATCAGCTTCTGATAATGAATTATAAATACAATACAAATGCTAGAACTGGAAGGGGGCCTTCCTTAGAAGTCATTGTCTAATTCCTACAATTTACAGATAATAATTGAGACTCAAAGTGTAGGCACCACATTTTTACACATTCTAAGAAGAAATTTCAACCTCACTATCTCTTTTTAAATCAAGAACTTTGGAACTTACCATGATTTAATTATCTTTTAATCCCCACCCCAACCCTTTTTTACTGATCTTGTATGCTCAGAAATTGATTTCTTAAAAATCAAATTTTGGTTGTATGCAGAGCAACACTCTGATGTCAGTGTTAGTGTCTCAAATATGATTCAGCTTCTTGTGATTTCTTAGACCTTATGTGTCAGTGAAATTCTACACACAAACACTGATGAAAAATACAAGGACTCTACTCAGTTTGCTATAAGGAGAATTTCACAAAGACACAACACATTCTTCTAAAAACCACATAAGCAGGCAAAAGTTACAACACACAGAAATTATGAAAATTATATATTTTATTTATAGTTTAATCACAAGAACAATTTTTTTGTTCAAGATGTAAATACATACTAGAATAAACTCTGTAGAATATACAAAAAATACATACTTTTCCCATGAAAAATTTCTTTATAATAAATAGAAGGGAACACGTGTGTGGCTGATCCTGATAATGCTCCGTGTCTGCTTAGGTTTTCAGTCTGTTGATTTATTTTTAATCTCTTGAAAGACTGGGGGAGTTCCTTCTCCCCTAAAAGGTCGAGATAAATAATGCATGAAGCAATCCTCCCTCCTGATTTTTCCCTTTTCCTCCACATTTTTCCTTTTGATAGAGAGTTCAGCCTAAATTTCCACGCTTGCATTCAATCATTACAAAGCCTACAAATTATACAATGACTTCTAACCTGGCCCTCTAACAAAACAACTTTTTCCCCCCTTATAAATCATAAGAGACAGATGGCAAAATGGAGAAGAAAAAGGAAAGAGAAGGACGGGACAATAGGCATTGTGACGAATCTGGGAAACAGAACAAAGTGCACATCAGAGAGGGAAAGTTTGGTTTGACAGGTGAAATTCCCACAGCCCGCAGACAGCAATGGGAATAAAGCAGATGCCAGCCATTGCAAATCTGTGGATAATATTATTACCGGTAAAATCATTCAGATGCTAAGATACATTTCTTTCTACTCGACATTAACATCTCTATGTAGAAGCAAAGGTGAAGAGATCAGAGGAACCAGTTGCATTCCCCCTGGGAGATTCACACGCACTGCGCCGGGTCCCTCTGGTGTTACAGAGAGGGGGAGGAGCGTCAGTCCGCTCTGCAAACTCTTTAGACTGGCCACCTTCTTTGCTTCCCAGCATCTTTTTAGCCTTAAGAAACGCCCCCTCCCCCCCAAACTCTACCCTCCTCTTTGACAATAAGCTCCATCACACCTTCAATAAATTAGAGACCGTCTGACGGAAGGAAACCCTTGGCCAAGGAATGCAGCAAACAACCCAGGAGTCAGAACGGCTACATCTGCCCTGCGAAATGAGATGGTTTCCAGGGCGTAGAAGTGGGGACAGGAGAGGGGTGGGAGGGCTTGGTCCAGGACAGGAAAGGGAACCCACTAAGGCCTGGCGCGGGTAGCAAGGATGGCAGTTCTAGATACAGTCCCTGACTATGGGGAGGTGAGGTGCGTAGCGGTGCTTGTCGGGAGGCGGGGGCTGCCAATAGTCCATGTCAGAACCAGCCGGGCTGGCAGGAGATAAAGTGCAGCTGTAGGGGGAGGTGGAGTTGGAGGACGCCGAGGAGGACGGCGCCGGGCTGTTGGTGCAGCTCCAGGTGGAGGCAGGCGACGGACTGTCTCCGCTGCTGCTCAGGGAGGCGCTAGCGCTTCCCGGACTCAGCAACACGGTCTCGGAAAAGAGCGCCCCCGGCAGGCCTCCGCCGCCACCCCCGCAGTGGTCCGCCAGGCGAAGGGTCTCGGTAAGCGCCCAGATATAATTGTGGGCAAAGCGCAGGGTCTCGATCTTGGTAAGCTTGGCGTCCTCCGGGAACGTGGGGAGTACCTCGCGCAACGCGTCCAGCGCCGCATTGAGGTTGTGCATGCGGTTGCGCTCACGGTTGTTGGCCTTCAGTCTACGGGTCTTCTTGATGCGCTGCACGGTCTCGGCTGTCTTGGCGCCGCGGGAAACGGCCCGCGCCCTGGAGGGGCGCCGCTTGCATTCATGCACCAGACCCAGCAGCCGCGCTGGCCGGCAGCCCTCAGCTCCGGCCGACGGGCCGCCCAGCCCCCCGGGCCCGGCCTCGGCCCCAAGCTGCCGTCGCGCCCCTCCCGACGCGCCCAGCTCCTCCTCTTCCTCCTCGTCGGCGCTGGACGACAGCGGGGTGAGGGCAGCCGAGGCGGGGGAGGCCGAGCCGAGCAGGACCAGCACGTCCTCTTCCTCCTTCAACTCCAAGGTCTCGGATTTGACAAACATCCTACCGGGGAGAGCGGGGAGGAAGAAAGAACCAAAGGAGATGTAAATACAGAAGCAGAGGCACGTTCTTGGTGCCAGCGGGAAGTACTCCTGCGCGCACCCACTAGGACTGGTTCGGAAGGGCGGCGCCAAGGAGGAACGTAGTTAGGGAGGAGACCCCGCCAGTGCTCTCCAAGCTCAGGAGAGCCCCTCGTTGTGTCCCCGCTGCCAGCCAACAGGGTCCCGCCCTCGGCTGGTCGACCTCGCGGCTGTGTTCCCGCCCGGAAAGAGACAGCAGCCCCTGGGACAAAGATTCTGTGCCTGCAAAGGGTGCTCTGACGTGGTGGAACAGAGTGCCGGAAAAGAGTGCCGGAAACACCCTTCCAAGTTGGAAGACACCGGCGGATACTTACGTAGTTCGCTCCCTCAGTGCGTCTCGGCGAAGCTATTACTTTGGCGTGTGCTGCGATTCTCCGCGCTGCCGGGAGCGCAGCGCTGCGTCCTTCTCTTAGCGTGAAAGCGGCGGATCTGGCGCGGCTCCGCGGGGGACCTCTCCGACTGGCGAGTTTGCCAAGAGCCCCGGAGGCCGCGGCGATCCGCCCGGGTCTCGTGTGTTGTGGTGGTGGTGCGTGTCTGTCTGTCAGTCAGTCCTCGGCCGTGCAGCTCCTGGCACGCGACTCCCGGGCACTCCAGTTAAAGCGAAGCTGCTTGTGGTTCAGTGGCTGCGTGTCTGGCACACGACTCTCCTTAAAACCCCTTATATACCACCAAGAAAACAATCAGATCTGCCCCCAGGGCCCC